CTGGTGATCAGCCGAATCGAATGATGTGCGATATGATGCAATTTGGTTAAAGGGACCCTTCCACCTTCAAAAAAGTTAATGAATTGGCATGAAATTGATGTCGCTCGGTTCAGAAAGAGCAAAAACGAATATCTACCAAATTTCATCGAAAAATATTCACCGGTTTTCAAGATATTAGACTTTTACTTTTGTTTACTTTTTGGGATCTCCGCTGTTCCTAGCGACTTTATTTGAAAGTGCGGCATTTGTTGCGCGCACAGCAGCATATACCACCGCGTGCTGGGGCATTCCACGATAGATCGTACCACTTTTTTCCAATTTGACACCCTCATCTCTCGGAATTTGACGAGAATTGGTCTAAGGGGTAATCAGGGGCTCTGAATCCACCTGTAACAATTTCAGGCTTATCAGTTAAGTATTTTATGAGTTATGGTGTATAACATTTTTTGGATCTTGCTTTGCAGCGCTAAGTTTGGCGGGCTGTAACTCTAAGACGGATTATTCAAATGCCAAATGTTATATAACATTGAACTTGCAATGAAACAGAGATTAATATGTATTTTTGAAATTTCGAAAAATATGTTTTTTTATAAATGACATATCGAGTTTTCTTTCATTTGTATTTTTTGGACTTTGGGACCAAATTTTTTTGAATTTTTATTTCGTTAAAAAAATATTTGGCTCATTGTTAAGAAGTATTCAAAAAATTAGGAAGGTGTGCTTTCTATAAATGTATTTATTTTACGTCACGATAACGGTTTCGAATAGTGATTTCGGGAGGGGAGCTTACAAATGGCGTGGTAAAGCTGCCTAGTGACATCACGGGTTACTGAAACTTCAATTCAAGTCTGAGTCATCTGAAAAAAGTGAAAAGAGGGTTCATTCAACCCTCTTTCCTATAAGCGCGAGGGTGAAAAAGGCTGTTTGGTTCTGACATTGTTTTGGACGCCAATGACCATAGCTGTCCGAGATGAAAGTTACAGGACGCATACATGGTATCCTCCAGAGGTCTCACAACTTGTATATCTGGGAATTTTTCAAGGTTACTTGAGGTCAGGTCGGTCACGTGACATCACTGTTATAAATCAATGGGGAAATATAAAAACTGTTATTCTGGCGCCAAGAATGATCTAAAACTATCCCACGTACATGGTATCGTGATTTCATGCACTCCTTGCAAAGTCCAATGCTTTACTTTTGCATTGTTAACCTTGCGTGACGTCATTTATGACGTCACTAGGGTCGTACGAGTTTTTCGTCAATAACTCCCGATCAAATGGAGCTAGAGAGTCGGGAAAGCCACCAATGGACTCGGGAAGACCTTCCGAATCGAATGATATGCCATATGATACCCTTTGCCCAGCTTCGTGACTTGAGGGGCTCTGACCTGACCTTGACCCGAGGTCAACTACTTAAGTTGACCCCACCCTAGCAAAAAGTATACCATTCGATGCACCTCAGCTAGGCGAACACAATGATGCCAAAATCGCGGCTCTGCGGCCATTTTTTGCGAAGTTATTTACTAAAAACCGAAGCCGTAACTTCAGTCACGTGACCTGACCTCAGACGCCACCGATGAACCTGAGACCTTAAAATCGGGTACCAATCGCTGCGACTTTTAACGGCACACACGCTCGTTTTTTCCGCGAGGCTCTAGCTCTATTAGAAGCGAAACGGCGTGCTGGGGTCGTATCAACCCCTCCGAAACCCATTTTGTTTGCGGGAAAATGAGAAACTTATAGAAAGAACACCTTTCTAATTTTTTGCATGTCGATTTGCAATGACATGAAGATTATTTTGAAAAAATAAAAATGTGAAAAATTTTGGTCCCAAAAGTCATTAGAGGCAAATGAAAAAAGATTAAGGTTTTTGCTCAACAATGAATTTTTTTCTTTGGAATTTTTACATAGTAATATTAATTTTTGATTCATCGCAAGCTTAGTGTTGTTTATTTTTTGTTGGTTGCTTAAGCCGTTCTTGAGTTATAGTCCATCAAACTCACCGTTACATACCGAAGCTAAAAAATGTAATGCAATATAACTCAAAAAGTGTTGGTCTGAGAAGTCTGATATTTTGCCAGGCGTCTTTGGGGCCTATGATTACCCCTAGGACCGATTTTCATTAAAATCTGAGAGATGAGGGTGACGGGCCTGGTACGATCTATCGTGGAATGCCCCTGCTACCAAACGTTTTAGTAAAAGATTTAAAATCGTTAGATCTCCGCTGACGTCACAAATTCTAAGGGGGCATACCAATGCATTAACCCCTTAGAATCCGAAAACTGCAAGTTTGAAATTCGATACCTCCGAATTAAAGCATTTTTCGATGTTGTGAGTGCCCAAACCGGTATTTTCAGGCCATGGCCACCAATTTGGCTATCTCAACTCAAATCTAATGTTAAGGTGGGAGGGTCCCTTTAGCTTTAACTTAACCCTCGCCCGTATAGGGGGGGGGGGGGTCGAACGGACCCCCCCCCCTCATGGTTTTTCGCGAATAACTCGCGTAAAAAGCGGCCGATCACGACGAAACTTTCAGTACCCTCGCGTTCATCAATTTCACACCTACAATGAAAATTTCATTACCCTGACCCAAATGACCTTTGACCTCTGACCTACTTTTCGAGACCATGTTTGGCTGGAATCGCGATTCGGCGTATGTCGGCTCGCATTAGCCGCGCGTTTGCAGTCTTTTCGTGGTTTCAAGCGTTCAAACATGTGATATGATGTTGCCCCCATGCATTAGGGTGGGTGTCAAGGTCACCTGAAGGTCAGGTCAGGTCATTGACCTTTGCTGACCTCGGTACACTTTTTCGAGTTTTACATGTTTCTAGGCCAGTTTTTGGAACTGAATTCGAATTTAGCAACCATATGAACATTTACGAAGTAGTTTTGGTGCCTTCGTAACATGCTACGAAGCTGTCAGAGGCGGTTGCCACCTACTACGAATACCCTTACTGGTTGACCTGACCTGACCTGACCCGACCTGGCCTAAATACATGAAGACATCATCTGTGATCAAAACTAACATGATATTCGTGATCAGCGCCCCGAAAAACCCCACAGCAGCCACACTTTACGACGTTCTAGCAGGTCCCGATTTTCCCGCCTTTGGGGTCATTGACCTGACCTGCAAGGTCAACCAATGACCTAGGACCTTAAAATTGGGTATTATCGGCTTCCTCTTGTCACGGGCAACACGCTCGTTTTTTCCGCGAAGCTCTAGCTCGATCAGGGGCGAAACGGCAAGGGGGGTCCAACGGACCCCCCCCCCCTTGTACGTTCGCGGCTGGAAAAACACAAATACGGGCGAGGGTTAATTTATTAAAGGGACCCTCCCACCTTAACATTGGTTTTGAGTTGAGATAGCCAAATTGGTGGCCATGGCCTGCAAATACCGGTTTGGGCACTCACAACATCGAGAAATGCTGCAGTCATGGAATAGCATTTGAGAAATGCTATTCCATATTCGAAGATATGGAATTTCAAACTTGCAGTTTTCGGATTCTAAGGGGCTAATGCATTGGTATGCCCCCTTAGAATTTGTGACGTCAGCGGAGATCTAACGATTTTTAAATCTTAGACTAAAACCATCGTTAACACGTGGTGGTATACGCTGCTTTGCGCGCAACGTCTGCCGCACTTTAAGGCTGCCAAATTATTGCTTCCAAATAAAGTCGCTAGTAACAGGGAGATCCCAAAAAGTAAACAAAAGTAAAAGCCTAATATCTTGAAAACCAGTGAATATTTTTCGGTGAAATCTGGTAGATATTCGTTTTCGCTCTTTCTGAACCAAGGGACATCACTTTCATGCCAATTCATTAACTTTTTTGAAGGTGGGAGGGTCCCTTTAATTTAAGTTTACTTAAAATTTAAGAAAAACTTTAAGTACACTTAAGCAAGCTTAAAAGTATATCATTCGACGCGCCTTGACGTGCTGAGTTCACTGGTGATTTTCTTTTTGCTCTATCTTAATTAGATCAAAAGTTATAAGCGAAAAACTTGTGACCTGTTTTTAGCGAAATTTTTACATTTATACCCCCCCAAAACCCCCCTAAATATTGACCTAGAGCAACCAAATTTGCACAGGGGCGAGAACACCAGGGGGCCCACCTCCCTTCCAAATTTGGTGTTTCTAGGTGCCATAGGAGCCAATCGCGAGGGGGGGGGGGTCGCATCGACCTCCCCCCCCCCTGCCAGGCCGTGTTATGAAAAATGCCCTGCCAGGGCGAGGGTTAAGGTCATATGAGGTCAGGTCACTTTCGTGACCTCACCATTATAAGTCAATGGGGAAAAATGAAAACTGCTATTCTGGCGCCGGGAACGATCTCCAGCTATCTCAAGCACACAGAATCGTGATTTGATGCACTCCTTGCAAGGTTAGATGCGTCACTTTTGCAATGGTGACCTTGCGTGACGTCATTTATGACGTCATCAAGGTCATATTAGTTTTTCGTCAATAACTCTTGATCAAATTGAGCTAGCGAGTCGGGAAAGCCACCAATGGACTCAGAAAGACCTGCCGAATCGAATGATATGCGACATGACCTCTTTCGACCAACTTCGTGACCTGGGGGTGCTGACCTGACCTTGACCTGAGGTCAACACCCCAAGTTGACCTGACCCGGACAAAAAGTATATCATTCGACGCGCCTGAGCGAGGCGAACACGATGCTGCCAAAGTCGCGGCTCTGAGGCCGTTTTTGGCGAAGTTATTCACCAAAAACTGAACCGTACCTTGGGGCACTTGACCTGACCTCAGAGGTCACTGGTTGACCTAGGACCTTAAAATCGGGTACCAATCTCTGCGTCTCGTAACGGCGCACACGCTCGTTTTTTCCGCGACGCGCTAGCTCCACCAGGGGCGAAACGTTGAGGGGGGTGGTACCCGCCCCCCCTCCCCCCTCGGCCGGCGCGTATGTAGAAAACCAATAGGTCCGGCGAGGGTTAAGTACCTACCACCATTCAGAAGTAATAGTACGCGTTTCCTCAACTACTTCTCACCGGCAACGTATAGCGTCCTCAGTGACGTCGGCAGCAGCCGCAGCCACCGCCCCGTTCCGAAGGACGGTACCCTGACGGTCAGCTCCTCCAAGCGGGGAAGACTCTGCAGGAGCGCCGTCAGCTGATCCTCGCCAAGGGCTGACGGAGCGTCAAACGTCGTCATGGTTACAAGGCCGAGCGCCTCCTCAAGCGTGTTGAATAGACTGGCGACCGATGGCTGGGGCTCCGTCTGTACCGTGACGTCACAAGCCGTCGATGGCGGGGACTCTGTCTGTACTATGACGTCACTGACCGCCGATGGCTGGGGCTCCGTCTGTACTATGACGTCATGAAACGCTTTTGTAATTTTACTGAAAAGACAAGAAAAAGTACATAAATCAAAATGCAAAAGAAGTTCACAACTTTAGTTGGCTCCTTTGATGATCCGATATGCATTTACATATCGTCGTCAGCAATAGTATGTTGTCAAATCTATTCAGTTGTATAAAATCGTTCAGAGTTGATTTCATACGAATCTGAACGATTTGATGCGACCGATTATATTTTGTGACACGATTGTTGATGAAGACATGTAAATACGTGCGGGATATGATGTCCCGAACTGGCCAACTTTATGCAGGACGGCTGTCAAAAACTGGAACAATATGATCGAGACTAAACGGCTAACTTGCGAAAGATGGTACGAATTCAAGGCATGTTTCTTTGATTGGGCGGAAATTACAATTACAAGTTACTCGACCTTCAATGACCTAGATATGTTTTTTTGTTTGTTTTGTTAGGTTAGGCCCTTTCGGTCCAATTAGACCATTTCAGAGCCGGGAGGATAATAGGATGTAGGGAGACATTGGTCTGGGCAGGCACCCTAGTGAGTCGCTGGGGCCGAGCCCATCCAGAGGACAGGCCACCCAGCCCCAAGGCACTCACTGCACCCGGCTACGGGGTGCGCTCCCTCGGGAGCAGCGGTGCCGCTCCAAGGGAGCAGCCCGCATGAGATAAAGTTGCCTGTCCAGCCCGGAAGGGGTTGCGGCGTGGAGGAGAAGGATTTCAGTATCCTGAGGATAGAAGCACGGAACGGTGAGTTATGTTTTATTTATTTTCTAACACCTTCTACAAAGAAAGTTTTCTTCTCACCATGACAGCTCTCCAAAATATCTCAGCCCCAACAGCCACCCCTGCTGCCTCCCAGTCTCACCCCTGGGGACGGCCGGATGGCGCCGCTCGCCGGCGGACGCAGTAGAAACACGCCAAACCGAGTAGAACCACGCCACACGCCAAACCGTAGCGATCCTCCACCACGGTCTGGCGAGTGGTCCGCTCTTCAACCAGTGCTTGCTCCAGGAGGACCACCGCACCGTGTGGTGCGGCGTTCTCCCCCTGGACTTTGGCCACCTCCTCGCGAAGGGAGGCCACCTCCCGGCGAAGGGCGGCCAGGTCTTCACGCACATCTGTCATCTCCATCTGGAACGCAGAATTACCGTTTTTTTTTTTTTACGTTTCTACTAATCCTTTAAAGGTGACTTAGTACGTAGCGTTACGTCGTACGCATTACGACATGTCGTGCAGCGTCGTGTCTTATCATGTCACAAAACGACGTGTCATTACGTATTACGACATGTTTTGTCATGCAACCCGCATTGTTGCATACCAGGCAGGCAAGCTTGGCAGGCAGGCAAACAGGTCTTAGGTAACAAATATCAAAATTTACTATCGATATCGATTACCTACTACTTTTTCGCAAAAAAAAACGAGATAATAAAGACACGTTTATCACTACGAATGTTTACCCCATGGCCAGGCCTTTTTCATAACGCGGACGGTGAGGGTAGAGGGGCTGGTACGACCTCTGGCGATTACCTTCTAATGCACTTAGAAACACCAGATGTATAGGGTGTTTAGGATGGATAGGATGTATAGGATACAGACAGTGAAACAGCAGGACTGACACAGTCACACAGCAGGACCTCGGCTAAGGAATTTCGACTGGGGGATGGGGGGCAAACCAGACTCCAGAAATCAGAATGTCATATACCACCTAATATGCACCGTATAAGCGGACCTTTACACCATACCTAACATTCATACCATATACCGTAGGTAACGGTATACCAAAATTCTGCCTAATCAGTTAAGCATACGAAAACATGTCTAAACAAACTTCTATCAAAGGTTTGGAGGCCAGCGTAGGGCCCTCAGAAGCCGAAGTCGAGCCGTCGGAGGCAAGGGCGCACACAAGGGGGGGGCACACGGGCCCGTGCCCCCCCCATTCGAGTTGGGGGGCCCAACTCGAAGGAAGGGGCCCATTTGAGGCGGCCTTCGGCCGCCTCAAATGGGCCTCTTACTAATCCTTAGACCACCGAAGACCGTGTACAACGGGCCCTCAAATGGCCTTAAAGGGACCTCAGATGGTCTCAAAAGGCCCTCAGATGGCCTCGAAGGGCCCTTAGTTAGCGTCATAGGGCCCTTAGATGGTGTCAAAGGGCCCTCAGATGGCCTTAAGAAGCCCTCAGATGGCCTTAAGAAGCCCTCAGATGACCTCAAAGGACTCTCAGATGGCCTTCAAGGGCCTCAGATAGCCTCAAAGGGCCCTCAGCTAACGTCAAACGGACGTCAGAAGACCTTAAAGGGTGTCAAAGGTCCCTGAGCTGGCGTCAGAGGGCCATGCCCTTGCGTCAAATGGCTCTCCGAAGGCTCTAAAGGGTCCTTAGCTGGTGACAGAGGGCCCCCAGCTGGTGCCAGATGGCCCCCAGCTGGCGCCAAATGGCCATCAGAAGGCCTCAAACGGTCCTCAGTTGGCGTCAAGCGGCCCTCAAAAAGCCTCAAGGGGCCCTTAGAAGACCTCAAGGGGCCCTCAGAAGGCCTTAAAGAGCGTCAAAGGGCCTTGAACTAGCGTCAGAGGGCCCCCCAGCTAATGTCAGAGGGCCCTGAGCTAGCGTCAAACTTAAAGTGCCCTTAGCTGGTGTCGGAGGGCCCCAGTTGGTGTCAGAAGGTCATCCATTGGCGTCTAATGGCCATCAGAAGGCCCAAAAACGATCCTCAGCTGGCGTCCAACGGTCCTCAGCTGACGTCAAGAGACCCTCAAAAGGCCTCAAAGGCCCCTCGACTGCTCAAAGGGCCCTTAGAAGGCCTCAATGGGAACTCAAGAGACGTTAAACGGCTCTCAAAAGGCTTGAAAGGGCCCTCTGCTGATGGCAAAGGGCTCGCACCTGAGTCAATAAGAGCCTTGTCAAAAAACGGACCTGAGAAACCTTGCCGGCCCTGGTTATCTGCGGGACTCCTACACTTACCTGAGTGGCCCCCGTTTACTGAGGGGCCCTGGTTATTGATGGGGTCCCTGGTTACTTAAGGGGCGCCTGGTTACCAGAGGGGCCCATGGTCACCTGGTGGGCCCCTGATCAATTGAAAACCCCTGGTCATCTGAAACGCCCCTGATTACCTTAAGGGTCCCATCACTTGGATTCAGTGACATATAGTAGCAAGGGAGCGAGGGGGTACGTTCCCGTTCTCGGGTTTAGGGTTCCTTCGAAACCGAGGGGCCCTGCGGCGCCAGTTGGTAGCAGAGGGTTCGCGCTGGCCACACTTCAACTCGGAAGGACACCACAGGGCTTGTGGGGGGGGGGGGGGACGTTATTGGCTCCTATGTAGCCACAATTATCTTCATAAAGGCCCAATGCCGGTTTCTGAGAGACCTCGCCGGCCGCTCAGGGCCCTAAGTAGTAACGGCCAACGAGGGATTGGCTGCTATGGCTCCACATCCGTCTGTGATAGACACACGGTCCACACCAGTGTTTCTAAAGGCACCCACAACGGCAACTGCGAGGCCCCTCGCCCCACCTCCAAGGGACCCCCACCAGCGCATCTTAAGGGCCTACATCGGCGGCTCTGAGAGTCACCGACGCCTCTGAGGGCCACGTACCAGTGACTCTGAGGGCCTCTTACCAGCCTCCGAGTGTCCTTGCCAGCCTATGACGGGCCACTTTCCACTTGCAGGCCATTTTGCTGGGCCACACACATGCCAATGATGGCCCCACCAGTGTCTCTAAGCCCTAAGACCCCGCAACGGCGCCTGTGAGGACCCAACACCAGCGCATCTGACGGCCTTTCACTGGCACCTCTGAACGCGCCACACACCGGTGACTCTGAGGAGCTCGCTCGCTTCGCTCGCTCGTAAAATACCATGTAAATTAGGCATTAGTGTACCTACATTAGGCACACTCCTCGGGCATAAATGATACTTTTGCTTGCCAATTTTCCACATTTTCTCATGCAAAGACCGTTTTAAAGAGACCCGTCTGCCAGTGAGACTGGACCCACCGTGCCTCCCTCCTCCCATCGAAAGGTCCTGGGTACATCCTTGCCTGAGCTGACCCCGGGCGCCCGGGTGACTCGCGGGCCCGGGGTCAGGTGACCAGCAGGTGACCCCCTCTTGGGCGAAATTCTGGGTACGTGTCCGACATGCATCGTACATAGTCCTGTTGATTTGATTCATTGGTTAAGCATTAAATATAAGTTAAAAGCTGGATCTCTAGTCTGTGATCCCGCATCGTATCAGATATAATGACATTTCATGTCGATGTGTCTAAAAAAACATGCGAATATACGTGAAAAAGGAGTGCTGCTCCCGCTCCTACACATCCGGGCCAAACAGTGACCGGCCCCTGCTTCTAGCCAACCGGGGCCGGTCGGCCGGCCGGCAGTCAGTCGCTGCCCGGGGCTGATTTCTCAGGGACCTGCAAAAATGGTTATTAACCCGCGCCCTGCTGGGGGGGTGTTTGAACACCCCCCCCCCCTGTGGTTTTTCGCGAATATCTCAAAAACGGCGGCGCGGAGCGCCGCCGTTTTTGGTACACCTTATCATACATCAATTCTACACATGTTGTGAAAATTTCAGACCAAGGTCATTCAAGGTCAGGTCACCAGGTCACTTGAAGTGACCTCACCTCATAAAAAGTTTCAATGTCTGTCATAGCTACACCGAGTGACCGATCACTTTGAAACTTTCAGCGATTACTAAGAGCAATAGCATGTACAAAATGTATATCTCAGAATTTTGATATCGATGACCTAAGGTCAGGTCAATTTTGCGACCTCCCCATTATAAGTCAATGGGAGAAAATTGAAATGCGCCTCTTTTGGACGAAAGACATTATAAACACTCCCAAACACCAAATTACAAGTGGTTTAGACACAGTGAACATGAAAATGGTGTCCGTGACACTTGTTTATGCCCTGAGGTCATCTTAGGTCACGAATGGTTTCTAGCAGTTTTTCGCAAATAACTTTTGATAGAGGCATGCTAGAGCGATGAAAACGCCTTAGATGTGTTCAGCTCGACGATACGGATCGACCGATATACAACATGACCCTTTCCGGTCAGGTCATGACCTTGATCTGAGGTCAAATTTTCAAGTTGACCTTTCAAGGTCAAGTTATAGTTCATTCGATGCGTCTTGACGAGAGGAACACGATGCCGGTAAAAGTAAGCTCGTACAAGGCTTGGGTCAAAAGTTATTGCAGAAAAACTGTTTCCGAAAAAATCGGCTATTTTTGCAGTTTTTGCCCCCTGCAGGCAAAACCGTTGACGTTAGGTCAAATCTGAGAGAATTACTCAGAAAGGGCGTTAATAGGGCTATCGAATGCGCTTTTCTGCGGCGCTGTAGCTCTATTGGTTCCCGAGTTATGCGTTGGCTTCTTGGAAATTTTCGACATTCGACCTGGAAATCGGCGAAATTTTGCCTTCAATGACCTCTGGTGACCTGACCTTTGACCTGACCAAAAAATTGACCAAGTGATTTCGTCATTATTTTTGACGCTCTTTCGAACGCCGCCTTCCGCGTATCGCTACGTGGCCCAGGAGCCGAGTTACAAGGGGGGGTGTTCAAACACCCCCCCCCCCCAGCAGGGCGTGGAAATCCAGGACCCCCAGCCGGGCGCGAGTTAATGAAATGTTTTACGCAGGGCTGCGGAGTCGGAGTCGGAGTCGGAGTCGGAGTCGGTCGGAGTCGACAGTTGTGACCGGAGTCGGAATCGGAGTCGGAGTCGATATTGGAAACCCCAGCCGGAGTCGGAGTCGGAGTCACCGAAAATCTGTCGACTCCGCAGCCCTGGCAGGTGTGCGGAGTCGGAGTCGGGAGTTGGAGTCGATCGGAGTCGACATTTCTGCCCGGAGTCGGAGTCGGAGTCGGAGTTGGTTTTTGAAAGCCGGAGTCGGAGTCGGAGTCGGAGTCGCCGTAAATCCATCGACTCCGCAGCCCTGGTTTTACGTAATAAATTAGATGTTTAGGTATATGTACCGGCTCTGAGTCGCATTTGAGAAAAAACAACCTAGCGTAAAAATATATATGTTTTGAAAATTAAGCTGGTACCGAAATAATTGTTTTACCATGCATTGACAAACCAATTGCTCAAGCTTCAAACCAACCGAAATATAGCCCCGTGGGCCGTATTTTTTTTTGGGGGGG